AAGGTTCTCAGTGTGCCTGAGCTAAGCAAGGGGAAAGTGAGGCAGGCAGGGCCTGGGTCAGGGTCTGGGTAGTATATGATGAGGAGTTTGGATTTTATTCCAAGTGAGCTGGGAAGCCACTAACATGTTCTGAGCACAGGGACCTGACACGATCTGCTGGCTCATTGCCTTCTCTCTATCTGCAGTGGCCATGCCTTGGTCTCTCAGCCTGGCCAATTCCTACCCGTCCGTTAGGACTAGCACAAATGCATCTCCTCTGTGAAGCCTTTCCTGGGATAGGTGCCACCTGTAACCTGTCTGCTGGTATTTCATCATCATTTGTCACTGTTCATCTGCTATTATAGATTCCATGTGGGCAGGTTCTCATCCACTTCATCTTTGCATCCCCCACCAGGCTAAGTCAGAGCTGGGTACTTTGTAGATACCTGTCTGCTTGTGTGTGTGTGTGTGTGTGTGTGTGTGTGTGTGTGTGTGTCTGTCTGTCTGTGTGTCCTATCATGTCCTTTTCGTCTGTTTCCATCATCTGAGGATTCTTCAGAGGCTGACATGCCTTGAGTTCTAAAATGGCCGACCTGAGCCAGGGCAGAAGCTAGACTGCAACAGGGCCGCATCACCCCCATCTCCACCCCAGGGTTTTTACGAAGATTAAATGAATTAATGAGTTAATAATTGTAAAGTGCTGGCACATAGTAAGCATTCTAAAAAGAAATTTGACAAAGAGCAAAAATAATTATCCTTCAAATATTTGTGTTAGAAACAACACCAATTATTGTGTTAGAAACAAGCTTTTCTATTGTTGATGGTTAGGGAGGCTCTGTGGCTTGGCCTTGTCATCTTGCCGGCTTTCAAAGGACGTGTTATTACTTTTAGTGAATGCGCCAATTAATTCTTTCCACACTGCATCAAGAACTGTTGCGGAAACTTAGTAGGTCTAAAGGCTGACCGCCCCTTTTCTTTAGCTTGCCTGAGTAGTTGAATAGATTGGTAATTGCAACAAGTATTCCTTGAGTGATCCTTATATGCATAGTGTTACTCCAGGTGTTGTGTGAATGTTTTACAAAAGAGGAATAAATGGGTATTCCCACTGCAGTAAATTGGGTTAGAATAAGTTTTTTAGTTTTATAATTTTTAAACCCAGGTGTATACTGTGTCCACAACCATCCTCTCTTTTTCTTCTTTGTTCCCATTGTAGAGTTCACCCATGGCTTACCTGGGGCCCATTGCCACGCCACACCTCTCTTTTCTTAGGTAGGATCTTGGCAGATCACTGTATTTCCCTACTTCCCCTTCCCCCCTACAACCTGGAGATGAGGCCATTATAATGTCTTATATTATATGATACTTTACAGTTTATGGAGTAGGTCAACTATAAGGTCTTGTTTAGATCTTAACTAACCTTGGAAGGAGGGAGGACAGATGGTATTTATTTCCCCCATTTTGTAGATGAGGAAAGTGAAGCAAGAGACAGAGTAGCTTGCAAGAGGTCATAGGACTGGTGTGTGGCCAATTCAGGCCTGACTACCCACACAGCTTCCTTTCTGCCACATCGGCACAAAATAAACATGTGCCAGTATCTATACACATGGAGGGAAGAAGTAAAATTAATAAATATTATGCAGTGAATGAAATCCATATCCCAATTTTATTTAATTTTTCTTAAAGGTGGCCTGAATTTCTCACGATGATGTCAGCGTCACTTGGGGCATCTACAATCATATGCTTTGGTGCCAGACAGACGATGATTTGAATCTGCCACTAGTAAGTGGCACACTAATAAGCTGTGTGATCTTGGGCAGGGTGCTAAATCTTTCTAAAACTCAGTTATCTATCATACGTAAAATAAGGATGATACTCCTATGTTATAATGTTCCTGTGATGAGTATATGGGTTATTGTATATAAAGTGCTTGGTACATAGTAGCTCACAAGGTGGTGGTTGTTATTTTTATTAATATTAGTCCAGATATTGCACCATATGATCACACCCCAAATATGGAAAGTTCAATGAGCGGTAGGAATAAAACATGGCTGGAAGCTCTTCAGGGGCCGCAATCCCTTCTGGACCAATCAGAAGGCCTTCTACATCAGTATCCTTCTTTCTACCCTCCCTTCCTTTTTTTTTCAGCAGGAGGCTACAGATGAGAAGTAGCATAGCTTCTGGGGACCTCTGGCATCTGTTCAGCTTAATATTGTATCCTGAATATAGAAGACATTCAATAAATATGTTTATTTAGTTATTGGATAATAATGAATGAATGGTTAAGTAATGAATGAATCCTCTGGGATGTATATATTGATTCCTTACTTCCTTGCTAATACTCAGTACTGTCAGAATTTTTTGATGCGTATGAAGTGGTACTGCATGGTGCTTTTATATTGAATTTCCCTGACGAATAATGAAGCTGGAGATCTTTTCACATGAATATTGGCCATGTGTGACCAAGACATGTGTGAACGCCTGTTTATGTTTTTTTTTTTTTTGGTGGTTCATGTTTTTTTAAAAATCTACTCATAGGAGTTCTTGAAATCTTCTGGATACCAATGATTTACCTGCTTATATGTCCAAGCAACTTAAAAAAATCTACTAACCATGCAAGCTGTTCTAAATGAACAGGCTGTGTTCAGTAGAAATTAAGCCCCTAAATTGCTTCCAGCTTTTGCAGAGAACCAGATTTACGTCAAATAGCAAAGCTTTAGCTTATAGAGACGGGAGCGGATAGTTGGTGGAAGTATTTTGTGAGCAGTAGGCTTTCCTAGTCCTTGAAATGATGGTAGAAAACCAGTCCTGAGCTCTTCCCCCCAGAAATTGCCTCCTGCAAACGCTGGTGGCCGAAGTGCCCTTTCCTGAACTTCAGTTATTCCCTGGGAAGACACAGGTTGGACCTGGAGTCAGTCTATCCGCAGGTAGTGCTTTCCAGGACTAGTTACCTGGAGGAAAGGACAGAACACTTGTCAGGTGAACTGTGGTTTATCCTTACTGCCATTTTTTGGCCATATGTCCCTAAAAACAAATCACATTGAATGGAGATAATGGTCACTACCTAGGGATATTGGAAAGATCAAATGATATCATAACTATGAAAGGACCATATAAATGCAAAATATATTTGCTAGGCTCTGTGAAGTAGCCAACCCTTTGCCGGAGTGGGACCTATACCCATTAGGCCCCATACCTTCTCCTACCCTCTGTTCTGCATACAGGTGCCTGATTGTAGAGTAGTAGTTCTCAAGGGTTGTCTCCAGACCAGCAGCAACAGTGTCTCCTGGAACTTGCTAGAAATGCAAATTCTTGGAGCCCACCTCAGAGCTACCAAAGCAGAGACTCTGGAGGTGGGACCCAGCAACCTGTGCTTTACCAAGCCCTGCAGTAATTCTGGTGTGTGCTAACCTTTGAGAACCGTTGGCCTAGTGGGATGTGCAAAGGCTTTAAAGACAGTGAATGTGGGTTTTTCAGTCTTAACTCTCCCATTTGCCAGCTTGTGCGATGAGCAGGTTACTAAGCTCTTGGGCTTCCAAGCTCTCATCAATAGAAGGAAGATGATGTCACTTCCGTCACAGGGGTGTTGTGAGAAGTAAATGACAGGCAGTATCCTGGCTCTGCTACTTTTTTGCTATGTGTCCTTTGGCAAGTCTCCTTTCTTCTTTCTGCCTCATTTTTTCTCATCTAAAAAAGATGGACTGGCAAGCGTTAACGTGCATGCCTTGCTTACTGTGTGCCAGCCGTGGTCCTAAACCTGTGAATATTTTAATTTTATTTAATTCTTACAATAACCCTGTTTTACAGTCTCTATTTTATGAACGAGAAAACCGAAACACAAAGAGGATAAGTAACGTTTCCAAAGTTACACAACTAGTAAGCTGGGATCCAAACCCAGGCAGTGTGCTGTGAAAGTCCTCGCTCTAAAGGCCATGCTTGGCAAATAAGTTCTTTGAAAGGATGGTGATGATGATAAGAAGATTGCCTTGCACACAGTGGGTACTCCATGTGTTAATTCTCTTCCCCTTGCCTTGTGGCTTGGCTTCATCGGAGCACACCCAGCTTTTCTTATAGTCATGCTGCCCTTCCCTGCGGTGACCCTAATCACAAAGCCCCATCCCCTCCCCAGCCCCCAGTCAGCAGTTTTCTCACTCCAGTTCATCTCGCTTACGGCCACTTGGATGCTCTGAGCAAACCAGACAGGTGTGGCTGGGGGAAGACCGACTGTGGTGGTGCAGGTGAAGTCATTCTCCTGTCACCCCACCCTGGCATGTTTTGGAAATGAATGACTAATCCAGAAGAGAGGGTCCAGGCAAGTTACCGAAAGATCATTGGGTCTGCCCAATTTGAGAAATATCCTCCCAGTCTCTTTTGCTCTCAGATTTCCAAGGGAATATAAAAGCCTTTGTTGCTGAGTTTTTCTTCGGAGTAAAATTTACAGCTGGGAAGTTGAACCCACAGTGTTAACAGCAGCGTTTTTTTTTCTTTCATTTTTGTTTTGCTAGGACAATGAAGAGCCTTATTCTCTTTCAGTTCAGGGTGTCACTCATTGTTCTTGAAAATTCTCTTTGGTTTTGCTCTCAAGATGGCCTCCCTTGCTGGGCATGACTCACCGGTCTAATGACTCAGAAGTGGCATCCAACAAGACAAGGACTGTGCAGAGCTGTGCAGGGACTTGTGGCCAGTGGAGCCTGCCTGAAGCTTTCCCTAAACCCGGTTATTGAGCTGGAGCATCGTTTCCATTAATGGATGTTTAGAATGGTTGTTGGTACCAGTTTATAGGAAGCATGAGGCAGTGCCTTGTTCTGGAAGGCTCCAAGGCTTGAGTCTATCCTTGTCCCTGAGCTGAGGTGGCCTTGAGGTTTACTGTGGGCAAGACAAGGCTTCTAAGAATTTACCTGACCCTGCTTGGAATGGCCACAGAATCAGCCAGTGTAAGGCTTCTGTAAAATTTGTATCAGGGAAAATAAAGGCTCTTCTTATCTGAAGAGGACTTCAAATCTCTTTCAACTTAATTTAAAAAAATCTGTTAAGGATGAATAGAAAGATGAACATCTATGTGACAGAACAAATTTAGCAAAATGTACTTGAAGATGTTTGCCATGCAATTCTTCCAACTCTTTGTATTTTGAAACTTTTCAAAATACAGTGTTGAGTAAAATGCAGGTAACCCTAGAAATGATCATACTCTTGTAAAAAAATTGCTTCCTTGTTAACATAAGTGGCAGGCTCTCTCCCACTTCCTCACTCCTCCCGGGCTTTGTCTTTTTTCCTGGGGAGCCTGCTTGGTGAAAAAGGGCCTGGAGTGAGCCTGGCAGGGGGTGAGCTAATCCTTTACGCCAGGGCTTTATCTTCTTCCTGATATGTAATTCTCACAATAGCCATATAAACTAGTTATTTCTGCATTTTATGAGGAAACTGAGGTACAGAGGGGTACACTTGATCCAGGTCAGTAGGTGATAATATTAGTCTTACAGCATTTATGGAGCCCTCCCTTTATGTGTCAGGCTTTGTGCTCTGTACTTCACATGCATTAACTCATTTGAGCCTCATCCTACCCTAGGAGGTAGGTGCCTTCAGTATCTTCATCTTACAGATCAGGAAATGGAGACTTAGAGAGGTGCAGGAACATATCCCAGCTTACTCTAGGAGCCAGGAAGTGGCAGAGCCCATGTTTGAACCTGGTCTCTCCTGCTTTATAGCCCTTGCCCTACTATTCAGACCCAGTCCTCGGCCTAACTCAGTAAATCAGCATACGTTGTAGAAACCTCTTGTTCTGAGACCACAAGCTCTTTGAGGACAGAATGTTTTGTTCAGCACTGTGTCATTCTCAGTCTTCAGAGCAGTGTCTGGCATAATGAATATTTATTGGATGAAAGAGTACACGGATGGTGTCTTCTCATCACCCCCTCCTTCACCCTATCTGCCCCTAAAGGTGCTCCTAACTGGGTACGTTTTGGCTGCCCTGGCCTTGGTCCTTGGAGATGGAGATGCCCGTTTCTTTGATGTGGTTTATGGGGCAACATGCCTCATTTGGTGGCCAGTGAAGAGTTCCAATGAAGGCAGATGTTCCTCATTGGCCTTAAGTTGTCAAGGATGCATAAGGATATTATCCACTGTCAAGGAAAGATGGGAACAAAAACAAAATAAAATTTCCCCAAACTTTAAGGGAGTCTTTAAATTGTGGCGGCTAGAAATCAACTCCAGGACCCCTAGTGGCCACGACAGGCTTTCCCTCTATAGCTATATTTGACTCTCGGGCTGCCGTAGTGAGCAGGTAAACACTAGCAATTAGTTCTCTTAATGTGCCCAAGTATGTTGATAATTATCCTTTACACTTATGTAGAACTTAGTTTACAAAGTACCACATCTGCTCTCCCTTTTGATCTTCTGAACAGCCTGGACCACACACAGGGCACGGATGATTAGCCCCACTTTACAGATGAGGAAACTGGTACCAGAGAGGTTAAATCACCTGCTGTACGCCACTCAGGTAATAGTGGTAGAGAGAGGTCTTCAACCCTCTTTTCTCACCTCCTACTCTGGCAAATTTTCCTTTTCAATATTGTACTTAACCCAGCAATTTCTGGGGATGAGCGCAGGTTGGTGCATTTCTTTTTGTTGCTCTTCCTCCATCTTGGAGGTGAGTGAGGTCCTGGATTGGGTCAGTTAATCATTCTGGATGTCAGTTTACCAGTCTGTATATTGGGGAATAAACACTACCCATCAGTGAGTGCACTCGGAGCAGAGGAAGTTGTGAGGGTTTGGAACTCAAAAAACAATTTCTAAGTGAAGATGTTTGGAAGGGACTGTGATGACTGGTTCATTTTCTGTAAAACAAGTTCAATGGCACCTCCCCTGGCCACACTATCTAAAATGGCAGCTCTGTTACCTCATTATCATGCTTCATTCTTCTTCACGGCATTTACTGCCATTTATTATATGTTTATATTTGTTTGTTTATGGCCTGTCTGAATCCTCCCACCCAAATGTGATAGCCAGGAGAGCAGGGACTTGGTCTGTTTCCTGCACTCTTGAATTGCTAACAGGTGGAGTTGTGCCTGGCACAAATAACCGTTGTTGAGTGAATGAATGAAAGAATGAATCTGAGGTATGTAATGATTGAAAGTAAGTTTGCATTGGATGATTGAAAGATTTGCTTGAGTACTCCTTGCTGTCGAACAGAGAGGGGGTTTGGTCTGGCTTCCACAGATCCATTTCTGTCTCAGCCATCCAGTGGCTTAAGACCAATCACTAAAGCCTTGAGTACCAACTTACACCTGGGTGAACTGGGTTCAATAACCCAGGTCCATTCAGCAGACATAGGTCATTGGATGGCACTGTATGCCTCTGCATTGTAACAGCCGGTGAGTGGCTTGAGGACTGGGGCTGGTTCCCGTCACTGTTCTGTCCGCAATACTTAGCATAGAGCCTGGTCCACAGAGAGGTAAAAGAAGTGTTTGCTGAATGAATGAATATGTAAGAGGAAACAAGCACAGGGCTCTTAATCCCCCTCCAAAGTGAAGGTCTCCATTTGAGAATAAGCTTGGTGCACGGCACATGTGGTCCTCTTTCAACTTGAATCAAATCTCTCCAGAGAGGAGGAGGCACTGAACAGTTGATTCCCTAACCTACTGCAAGGAAAGGCAAGCCTAGGCTCCAGATCCAGTTCCATGCCATGTTTTGGAATTTGTGTTTACGTCTGTCTTCATTCCCCATCCTTTCTGCTCCAGCATAAGCAAAATTATAACCCCTGCACGCTGACTTGCATGCAATTACCAGAGCCCGGTGCTCCTCGGCTGAGGGACTTCTCCCCCAAGACCGCTGACTGTCTGAATGACAAATCCAAAGTCAGGGTTGCAGAACCAGCCGGACTTTCCTGCTCCTTTGCAGCAGAGGGAGGAAGGAGAGAATGAAAGATTCTGAAAATAAAGGTAAGGGGCCCACTGCAGAGGGTAGGTAAAAGAGGCTAGGGATAAGATGTCACTCCATGGACATGTTTAGTGTCTATTAAATGGCTGATTTAAAATTAGTGTGCATATATTATTTAAAAATACTAGTATATAATAATAAACGTGACTTTTAAAAATAACTGATTTCTGGTTTCCAAATATTGTCATTCAGTTTTCCATTTTTGTGCTACTAAATATAACATTTTTGCATTCTTCATTTAATCTTGGCTGAATGACACATATTTACATTTCACAGACTTCCTTATAATAGTTCCCTTTTATTTTGCAAGTGTTCAGAATACTTAATTAATATATAGGTTTCCGGTGCATTATTGGAATTGCAATATCTGAAATACTTCGGACTTCTACAGTTTGGGTTCTTAAGAAAAATGTAGAGGGAGAAGCCTTTAATGAACATTCACCTTTTCGGGAGGATCCAATGGGGAGCCGTCACTGACCTTCAGAAGTGTTTATCTTGCAGAGAGATATTCAGATGCAAACTCCCCCCACTCTGCTAGCTTCCATCCCCTAGATCCCTGGTAACAACCCCCCTTCGCATCCCCCCCCTCGCTCTCGCCCCCTCCCCCCAACCAATTCCGCTTGAGGCATGGGGGAGGAGAGAAACGGATTTAAATGAAAACTCAGGAAAGGTCAGGTCTCTCAAATGAGCCAGCCAAATAAATATTAAGTTCAACAACAAGGATTCTGGAGGATTCTGGGGTTTCAAATTCCGAGGGTCCTTAACATTTTCTGCCGCAGATGGGGGAGGAGCGATAGATCCCAAGGCTCGGGAGGATACACGCGTTCCCCAATCCTGTTTCCAGGAAGGAGCCCTTCCGTGGTGTTGCGTAGGTGCGGCTCCTGGTCCTGCCGCAGGAGGAAGGCGCAGGGCGGCTGGGCTCCCGGGAAAGCTCCGGGGCAGCCGCCGAATCTCCGCGTAGCCTGGCTCAGCCCCTGCCTCCCCCCAGCTAATTTTAGGGTTTGCCCGCCCCCCTTTTCCCCAGCAGGCGTTCGCTGATCTCACCTCAAGCCTCTCTGCAGCAATTTCCACCCCTCCCTCTCCTCCCAGCACGCTCTGCTTTAAGGAGGCCCCAGCACTTTGCCCTTGGGCACCGGGCTTGGGTGCTCAGGTGGAGGCTGGCACACAGCGCCGGAACAGGTTGCTCACGCCCACCGACCCTCCGCAACACCGGAGCCGGATGGTTCTCTTCATTGGTGAGACCGCCCAGGCCCCAAGCCTTCTCCTAACTGCATGCAGGGCCGCCCGCTTGGCCTTCACCAGCCCAGTCCTCAGGCACACTCTCTGGCATGTCATAAGATTCTCATCTTGTAATGGACAGTGATGTTTATTCCATATTAAAAACAAACAAAAAGCAACCAACCAAACAAAACCACACACAGCCTGATGCCGGTAGGAAGGCTGGTATTTTAATCTATCACGCTGCTTGTGATGAAGGCTCTTAAGCAATTTCACTTACTATAACTGAGGCTTTAAGAGGGTCTGGGGTAGCTGGTGTCGGTTCCACATAGCGATCTCTGCGGTTTTGATGTTTAAATTTTGATTAAACAGCCTTAGCGAGGCGGAAAACAGATTTGCATGGCCCTGGTAAATGCAAGGAGTGCCTGTCTACTGCTGTTTCTAAGCCAAGCTCTCATGGACAAATAAAACCTGTGTCTGTGTAATCAGAACATTTTAAAGAAACTCAGGGAGAATGTTGGCCTTTCCTGTGTTATTTTCAGTAGCTGGAGAAAAGGTTTCTGGAAAGAAAAAAATGTGCTTATGTGCCATGTCATGCTAGGCCAGGGGCATGGTTTAGAAAAAGTTAAGCCTGCCTGAGCTGGAGGCTCATGTTAGGTTAATATTCACCCCCATTTGGAATTGAAACACTCCCAGTTTCTCAGTGTATCAGGCAGGATGCTTTAGGCTTCAAATCCCCAGCTGCTTTTTTAGGGGAGTTGGTATTTAGAATTTTTGTTTCACTTTGTTCTGGAAGGAGCCTTGGTTGGAAGTCAGGGTGGTTAGGTTCTGGCTTGTTTTGCCACTAACTCACTGGTGACCTAGCACAATACCCACGATTTTTTCGGACCTGTTTCCTTATCTCTAAAATGGATAACTGTTAGACCAGATGACTGTTCTTCAGATTGTGGGTGGTAAGAAAGCAATTTAGTGAGTCTCAAGCAACCTTTTAGAAAGATGAAATAGAATAGAAAATGTCAGAAACCATTGCGTATGGTAAGTGTAAATAATGGTTTCCTGTAACTTCTGTTTTAGATGTTTATGTTTGTTTATGTATGTAGATATGGGCTGTATTGATGTCAGATCAGTTTCTCGCTGTGAATCCCAGTCAAAAGAGTTGGAGAAACACTGAAATCAGTCACAGCTTCCTAGTTTGTCAAGGAGTCTATGAAATGCAGTCCATTTTTGTTTATGTATGTTGAGAATGTCAGTAGTTTTCCTCAGAATTTCCAAGGGGTCTAAGACCCCAAATAGGTTATGAATTATTGTGTTTCCCCCAAGGCCCTTCTAAGCTAACCTCTTAGGGATCAAAGAATCCTTTCAGGGCCGGGAGATGGGCATGTGTTGACAGGACCAGCTGAGTGTGAGATGTGAGGTGGGGTGTGTGAGCATGTTGAAGAGAACGTATGACCGTGGTAACTATACCATGAGAGCTATTTGTAGGTTCCAAAGTGCCAGTTGGTGACCTGAATATGAAACACAAATATCTAAAAATTAGAGTCTTTGTGCTGAAAAGTACCACAGGAAAACTATTAAAATGTTGTGCATTGTTTAGAAGTCAACTCTCCTTGGAAACAGGCACCAGGTAAAATTTTAAGAGGTTGACAGGGACAAATAAAGCATCAGGCTGTTGGTAGGCAAAAACTGAATTTTATAAACTACCATCACATGACTAGTGTTCTGTAAATGTTGAGCTGTGGTTTAATAAATGCCTTTCTTTCTTTTTTCTCTTTTTAGTACATCTTGTCTTAAGACAGTCCAGTGAGGCTTTTCAACACAAAAGGCATTGTATAACATTTACCCAGCATATCTCAAAATGCTTTGCAAACCAGGAAAAAAAATTCTGTATGAGGCAACTCAGAAGAAAATAGTTGAATGAGTTAATAAGTAGGTATTGGCAAGCATGACAGCTAATTATAATAATAACAGCCATAGCTCCTATTTAATGAACAAGTAGTATGTGAAAAGCTCTTTTCAAGGTACTTTACACATTGTCACAGCACTGCAAGGTTGGGGGTATTTTACATGTAAAGAAATGGATTAAGAACTTTTTACAGGGCACATAGCTAGTAAGTGGCAGAGCCGGGATTCAAACCCAGCGCATTTTACCTTCAGAACCATTCACGTGGTAGGCAAGGGCTTTGAGAATAAGTAGCGTGGGAAAATTGCAGAGTTTTTAATAAAATTTTCAACATCATTTATTGCTAGAATTAATTTACTTATTATAAAAAGGGAAATGTGAACCATAGAAAATGATGGCTTTTGTGTATTTTTCTAGATTGTGTTTATTTGCAAAATAGGCATTTTAACTCTAAGTTCAGCTGCAAATTTTCCTTTTATTTTGTAAGTTCTCTCTTTTATGAGTAAGGTTTTAGAAGCAGAGATACGAAAGAATAGGAGTGGAGAGTTTGAAAGTTTGGGTGGAAACATTTTTTTTTCCCTACAACAGTTTAGGGCAAATAGTTCTCTTTTCAATTTTTCTATGTTTTATTTCAAAATAACAAACATGACATTTTGTGAGCAAATAAAGTTATGCATAACATTTTAACATGGTAAAACTAGGATTAGAGCACACTGATTCCTGAAAGAATCTGATTTTTTCCTGAAAGTTATTACAGAATCTGATTGGGAGTTTGAATATGGTCAGATCCAGACTTTTAAACCCTAAATATTTAAAACACTATGGTGTACATCCCCCAATCTGTAATTCAAAATGAAGTAAGTGCAAGGAAATCCAAAAATGTTGTGTTTTTTTTTTTTTTTTTTTTTAAAACAACCATGACTACCTTTAGAGAAGACTCAGATTCTTTCAAGAATTTGTGCTTCCTGCTTGGGACTGCATAGGTCAGGCAAACCATGTGTATTGGTTGGGGTGATCTGTAAATGGCTGAGTGAGTTCTCAGCTTTCACGGCTAGCATGAGATAGAGCTGGGTTTAGAGCCTGGACTATGCCATTGCTTCTCAAATGGACACAGTACTGCTTCCTGTGGAACATACTAGAAATATGCAAGGGGCTGTAGCAGCATTCACTGGGAAATGATAGATGTCCTGCAATGTTCCGGACTGTTCCATTTAATGATGAATTTAATTATCTCTTGTCCTGTGCAACTTTCAGATGTTTTGCTGAAGACATAAGTGTAAACCCTCTATACTTTTCTGAACCTAGAATATAAGTTGGTATTACATATACACTGACGTTTCTGGGATTAAAAATGTTGTGTAAAGCAAGGAAAGATTACACTTAATTTTGTTTGGAAAAATCACTTACCCAAAGCGTCAATTGGTTTGAGACATCAAAACAACACACCTGTCTCATTCAATCTATGTACCTGTACATGTATCTGACTATTAATGTCATCTAATGTAGTCTTACTTGAGTATTTGCATATTGAAATCCATATTGTTTTGCTATATTTATTAACTTTTCTTTCCTTTCTCTTTTACATTGTTGTTGGTATGTGTGGTATAGTTATTGTTGTTTAATTGTGTGTTAGGTAGGATATTTTATCTTTAAATTTCATTTTGAGATACTAAACAAGGAAATACAAAATATTTTTTTATTTGTATATATATGTGTTACTCAGAGTATACAAAATGACTTTATTTTTACCTCTTTAATAATTTAAAAGAATTTCAGCCAACATGAAAACTTTTGGAGATTATATATTCAATTCTATAATTCTGGTTCCTTTAATAAAATTAGGACAATCTACAACAAGATTGAGGTGAGCATAAACTGCCCTCT